GATCAGTAAGTTTTATAGATATTTACTTAAAAATGTGGTGACTGAGGCTAATCTACAACACATTTAAATCTTACAATTTTAACTGTTTGGAGGAATTTTTATTTATTTATTCTTTTGTTAGATAACATTACAGTTTTGTGTGTGAGTACAACTGATTTAACTTTTGGAGCCAATCCAGTTTAAGATGATAAATCATTTGAGGTTTAATTTGAGGTGGTGGTAGCTGAGAGTCATTCACAACACACACTCTGACTGCGACACTTTGTAATATGACCCATTGTTAATCTGCGTGTCTTTTTTAATTCCTTTTTTTTTTTTCAAACCCAACCCTGGAGGACAGTTCTGGCTTTTGGCCTACATCTTGAACCACGTGTTTAATGTCAGATCTGATGTGGGTCAAGTGCAGGTGAACCTGTGACTGTCTRTGCCGCTGTGGAGAATTTATAAAAACCAAGTTTGAGGTTTTTGTAAGCGACGTTTCACCTACCATCCTGTACGTCAGAGTTACAGAGTTAATGTTAACGATTCGGTGAATTTGACTGAGTTAAACGTGTTTTATAACAGTTTTATAAATAAATCATGATTATTAAGCTTTAATTCAGTCATGGGAGAGTTTTGTTAAGGAAATATTTGATGAAATGTAAAAAAAAAAAAAAAAAGGCACCAGAGAGTTGTAGACAGTCAAGATTCTGGTTATCGTCACGTTTCCTGAAAGTAAGCAGTTTTTTATGTTTATGGAGAAAATTTGACATTTGGTTGACAGAAATGTGGTTTTAGCCACACTGTGACGTTCAAGAAACGTTTCTAGTTGGGATGTTTTGATTTCATTGTGCTGACGGTGCTGATGACTGCGGACCTTTTATCCAGCCCAGGTTCTGGAGTCACGAGGCAACCGTGTGATCTGAAACTCTCAGCTGAAGACCCTCGTTTTTTGACCTCTTCTTTCCTCTTTCATTGAATGAATGAATGAATTTATTTATTTGGGACAGTGTGCAATTAAAACAGAAACATCAGAACRTTTGATGCATTGCGTCAGATTTAGCCTAAGGCTAATTTACATCTGTAGYCCCTCATTCATGGCGGGACTTTAAAGATCGATGTTTCAAATGGACGCTAAGCTTAAAAAGACAAATAAACGACTACAACTCATCAGTTTTATAGTTTTTGACCTAATATTTGATGCGGTACRGTCATTTTTGTGTTTGCTAAAGTCAATTAGCTTTGATCAAGTTGACTCAGRAAGTTCCCTCCACTTGTTTCTGAGATATTTTGCTAACAAATAGACTTAATCCCCCAGATTAAGCGACTTGATTTATGAACTTTTACAGCTGAGAAAATTAAAGTGTCTGTGACATATTTTTTAATATAAATATGAAAGCATTTTTGTAAAGTAAACATCAAAAACATGTTGCAAACAAAATTTCCCTCCGCTGTGATGAACAGTTGTTGAGGTGTTTGCATGTGAAGGAACAGGAAGTGATGTCAAAGAGGAATGTCTGAACAGACAATTAACAGATTGTAAAAAAAAAAATCCAGATTATTTTGAGTCACTATCAGAGAGATGAAGAGTCAGAGTTAAAAAAGATATATTGTTTTAATAAATAAAGAGGACGTTCCTTTTTGCAATGATGATGTCACTTCCTGTTTCTCAGTTTGAGCCAAATTCTGMAGAAAAWKKKAMAWWRTGAGTAAAATCATGTGTATTCTGCCATCTTCCTTAAATATAAAGATGTTTTCTTTGACTTTTTGTATCTGAAGATGTTCATCGGGCTCTTTAAAAAAAAGAAATGAATTCCCTGAGTGGGACGGAGGTTTTTTTTAACTCGTCTCTGCAGAGTTCAGTGAATTCAGCGAACAAACCGACGCTCCGGTCCGTGGAGCTCGCTGCTGTCTGTCTGCGTCGCCGTCAGCGGGATCAGCTTCCACCAACAGAGATCACGCAGGATGAACAGATCAGAGCCAACAAAAGGGCCTCCGAAGGGTTAAAAATACATAAAATACTCACCTCAGCTGCTTTTCCAGGAACAGAGAGAACATTTGAACAAGACAGAGACGGGATAACTTTTCATCAGGAGGGGGGCCGAAAACTTCACACAGGTCCAAAGAAAACATCACGAGGTGTTCTGAAGTGTGATTTTCTGAATATATTTCATTTTGATTAAAACTCTGCAACCTAACCGTTTAAAGATTGTTAAAGTTGTTTATTCATAAACACATTTTGTTCTCAAACATGTTGATGTATAATAAAAATAAATGTAGGAAAAATGACATCATGTGCAGAACTGTGTCTTTACTGTTCAGCAACATGGATCAAGTTACTTTTTGAGTTTCATTAAAACGAGCCGACTGCATGAAATTAAATGTTTATATAAAGAATGATCATATTTAGGTTTGCAGATACTGACCCTTCGTTTAATATCTCACATGAAGGCGGGCGATAAACAAATCTTCAAGAAAAGCTGTTTTTATTTCAGTTTTATTTCTTGTTGCATATTTTGTTCTGTTAATGGAAACAGATTTGTTTCTCAGCTGAATGACTTCAGGAGGAATAAAAAGGTCACATTTCTCAGCCAAGATGAAGAATTTGCCCCAAAGAAACACGAGTTTACAGATTTTTTTTGCTTTAAATTCTTGTTTGAATTTTCACCGAAGTAATTAATGGCAACAAAAACACAACTTTATTTCCTGATTTATCTGAATTAATTGACTTTAATTATCAGAGTTGATTCTTTAAAAGTCATTTTGATGCTTCAGACTCAGTTTTTATTTAAACAGAGGTGAATTTATAGCTTTCAGGGTTTGTTAAAGTGAAAACTTTAACACGGTTTGTGTYGAATGTTTGAAAGGTCCAGTTTAGGAGAAGGAGCCGGAGCTCTGCAGGATCACAGGATTAGTCATTCCTGCAGATCACAGTTATATAATAAACATAACCTTTTTTTTTTGTTAAAGCTGCTGAGTCATTTYGTGTCACACCCACTCCTGGAAAAATGAGAGTTGTTCAAACAGTTTTCAGGTTTTCATCCTTTTTTTCAAAGAAATTCTCTTTAGGTTTTTGTTTTTCTTTACTTTTCTTTTTTGATTAATGAGCTCTTCATTCCTGAACGGGCCGGGCCCTAACCGAGCCCATCATTAGCTGCACCTTTTGTTAGTTCAGACTTTCAACAACTTCTTTTAAAAGCAACTCCCAGCATGATGTAGCTTCTGTTGATTCGTGTTCTTTTGATTTGTTTGGTTTAGTTTGTCCTTTAAAAGCCTCGTGGACAGAAATATCTGCTGAATCACTGAAACACACCTGCTGTCCCAGTGCTCCTGCAGATGTATAAATAATTAAATCAATCATGAATCAATCAATAGAAGGAAGGAATGTTTTGCTACTTTTTAATTTTAGCCACAATTTTGCTTTGATTAGCTTTCAGTTAGACTTATACTTTTATTTACCCTTTTTACTTTAACTGGTGTTTTGCTACTTATAGCTTATTTTGCAAAATTATAACTTTTGCTAACATTTAGCCTATTTTATCCTGTAGCCTATTTTGCAAATGTAGAATTTTAGCTAACATTTAGTTATTTTAGCTTTCAGTTAGCATTTTGCTACTTTTATATTGATTGTCTTAAAAAAAAGCTCTCAGCTGCACTTCTGTTACTTCTAGCGAGTGTTTTGCTACTTTTAGCTTGTAGCCTATTCTGTAAATTTACAATTTTAGTTAACGTTTAGCCTCTTTCAGGTTTCAGTTAGCCTTTTCCTACTTTTACCTTGCTTGTCTTTAACTAGAAAATAGCTACTCTCAGCTATCCTTCTGTTATTTTAGCTGCTACTTTTAGCTTGTAGCATATTTTAGAAATTTAGCTTTCAGTTAGAATTTTTTCTCTTTACTCTTTTCTTATTTTTTGCGACAGTTTTGCTACTTTTAGCTTGTAGTCTACATTTTGCTAATTGAGAATTTTAGCCAGGATTTTACTCTTTTTAGCTTTTTATTGGTGTTTTACTTTCAGCTAGTCTTTCTTATTAGCCCCACTCAGATTCAACTTTTTTAATGTTAAACTTTGTTTTTTTCATAGAAATTAAAGTTTCTGTAGTTTTAAAACTACAAATTTGTTTTGCTGCTTTGGACAAATGACTTTTTTAACAAAATAAGATTAATTATTATTATTATTATTATTATTATTATTATTATTATTATTATTATTATTATTATTATTATTGAACCTGGATAAATTGTTTGTGTAAGAAATGCTGACATCATTCAAGTTTAATAAACATATCTTATCTGACAACACTGAAGATGTGATCAAATTTAAAACTAAAAGATTTGCAGCAGAAAGTTCAAACACATTATCAGCTGTTTGTTGTTAAACAATTTAATAAAAATACAAACAAATGAATGTAATTAATGTTTTGTTTAAATTTACAGTCAAAGCTTTGAAAACTTTCCACAGTTTTATCAGTGACTGTACTGTGACTAAAAGTAATTCGGGTCAAAGTTTGGAGAGGATTCAAACTTTTCCATTTTGTATTATTGGTGCCATAAAACCTGAAGGAGTGGCTCAGTTTATGTCTGCCGTTTGCTCCACTAATCWATATAATGTTGAAATCTTTTTTTATTGAATATCTAACTTTTTATACATTTTTAAAAAGTGGAACGAAACACATCAATATCATCATATGCACTGAAATGTTAGCAAACAAAACAAACAAACAAAAAACAAGATGAAATAACTCACCACCTAAACATAATTTTAAAAAAATTACACTAAATATTACATTTAAAGCACCTTTAGTTTGAGCTTTTCATTTTGGCTAAGATGGTTGAATATTTTCATAAATAAGTGGTTGAAATAAAGATATTTTAAATAAAATGTTGCTGATGAAATCTGTCAGCTGCTGCCCCCTGCTGGCTGCTSKTAGAACTGAAAGCAGATTAAAGCCTGGAGCGTTAAAATATGAGGTCAGGATGCTTTTAAATGTTTTAAAATTTATAGGAAAATGTTCCACATAAAACACAAAACATACCAAGTCTCTAACATATTAAATAAATAAATTTCAACCTGTTCTACAGCTCATAAATGTGCAGAACCATTACCTCAAACTAAAACCTGAATGTTCCTCCAACCAGCCGTACTCTGCCTCTTTTATTTATTGCACTTTTTTTGTCTTGCATAACTTTGTTTTTTCCTCTTTTACACCTTATCTAGTGTAAATACCATTCATAACATAATTTCACCTGTCTGCGTGTTTGTTCTGTATCTGTGCGAGCTGACATTCATACAATCTGTTCCTGTTGGTTGCAGAAAAAAAAAAGAGAAACCTCAGTTTCTGTTTCCCATTTGTCCGTTTATTGAGGCGTTATTATTGTCCAGCTCAGTGCACTCAGTCACTACATGTTCAAGTATTCAGGATCAAACATCAGTTCTTCATAAAGTTTTGTTGAATTTACACCTCAAACAGTTTCCACACTCTCGTTTTTATGATTTTCTGACATTTTTATGTCAAAACATCTGGAATTCCACTGGAATTTGTGCCGTTTTATTATCTGAATATTAATGAAATTATTGGATGTAAAAAAATGTTTTAATAATTTTAAAAACTATTTAAAATTTTATTGGTTTTATACTAACTTCTGCAAGAAATCTGTATTTTCCCTCTTAAATTGTTGCAAAAAAAATGAGCAAAATGAATCAAAAATGTCTTTATGTAAGTTAGTTGTAATTATGATCTGAATATTAATGATTAAAAGCATCGCAGCTTATTTTATGATATTATTATTATTAAAAAC